CCCGCTCCCAGCCCCGGCCCCGCCACCCCCGCTTCCTCCCGGGCGCCGGTAGTTCGCTCCCCGCCCGCCGCCCGTTCACCGATACCGCCGCGGCTCCGGGGACGGGACTACAACTCCCGGCGGCCCCCGCGCCGCCTCTCCGCAGCCCCTCAGGCGGTGCCGCCCCGCTAGGCATGATGGGAGTTGTAGTTCCGCGAGGGGGCGTAATGGCGGCGCCGGGCCTTGGCGCTGAGGTGGCGCGAGGAGAAGGCGGGGGGGGCCGGGGGGAAGGGCCGGTCTAACGCCGCTTTCCCGCTGAGAAACAGGCGCTAATTGCCTTACTGGGTTTAGATAATGAACTTATGGCTCTGATGTGAAACCAAGCTCGGCTGAGGCCTGTGGTAGAGCCTCCTGGGAGGTCCTCCCGTGGTCTCCGGGGCTCCAGGCAAACCCCGCTGCAATCCCTGTCAATGGCACCGTGATGGTGCCAGAAACGCTGGATACCGAGGCAGCAAAACTGGGTCTGAAAAGCAATTGTGTGCTCGGAAGGAGATGAGGGCAACAAGGAGGGCCTGGGAAGGAGAAAAAGGAGGCAAAGGTGCACAAATGGTGGCGTTGGGGTAGCTTGGGGACCGTGCGGGTCCGACAGGCCCAGCAGCCACCTGCCGCTTCACAGGGAGAGGTGGAGGAAAAAATCACCAGTTTAGAGCCATGGACGAGGTGGTATTTGTGGACGTGAGCCACCACACGTCGCTGGGAGAGAAGGGCACTGCGGTGCTGGAGATCGGGTGAGAGGGTTATTGGTGTGGCGGCAAACTGCACCCAGAGGTGCTGCACCAACCGTCTGCAATGGTGTGTTTATTAATTTGCCTTCCTGACTGGGCACTTTGGCTTCTCTTGTCAGGATGAAGATGGTGTCATGTCAGTCACGCTAAAAACATGAATTAAAGCAGCACAACCACTCCCAAGGATGCAGCCCTGACATTGTGGACTCTCCAGACTGGTGTGGCCTTACGGTAGGGATTAATGCAGTGTCTATGGCACCTTCAGTTTTATTTTGTTCCTATTAGGTTGTGTTGGTGTCTTGTTACTCCTTATCCCTGGGTCCTGGAGTGGTTTTTTGCATTCTTACAGTTAGAGCAATTCATATTTTCTGCTGTTAACATATCACAGAGGTAAAGCATCTTCTAAAGTTATGTGGAGTGCCTTGATAAGCTTCTGTCAGTGCTGTCTTTATGTCCTAGCATCTGTCCGTGATCAATAGAAGCCGTATTGATAAAAAAGTGGGATTTTCATGCTGTAGATGTTTCATTTTGTTTTTAATAAAGTTTTGATCTGAATTAGACCCAAATCTTTTTTTTTTTTTTTCCTTTTAAATACCACAAGTGTGAAATCCCATGAGCACATTGCAAAAAACTATGGTGAGTCCAAAAATGAAGCACTTGTCCTTATGATTTCCAGCTCTTCAGGGAATGTGACAGCCTTGGCAGCTTCTCTGTTGCTAAAAGCAGCTAATGATAGGGGTGAAACTGCCAGGACTGCCCATTTCTTTTGCTCACTGTGAGAGTTTCTAGGCTTTTTGACACCAAGCTGGAGATCCCACAGTCCCAGACTCCTTACCTAGGGGCTGGAAACCCAAGGTGGTTGGAGCTATGGCTGAAAACCTGGAAATGATAGCAATGACACCCAGGAATGCTTGGGTACCTTGTGGGCTTTGCCTACAGATAGAAACCCCACGGTTTCTTGATAAAAACATCACAGACCCAAGGGATTTGGGGCCTCTCTTGTGATGTTTCCAGGAGTTTCATCTTAGGATATACCCTCTAGAAGGATGGTCAGCCAGAAAATAATGCTTTGGGAGTATAAACATCTGGGAGACCCTCTGGAAACCCCAGCAGTTTTTGTAGTTTGCAGAAGTTCATTGTTCCCCCATTTCACAAAACATTTCAGTGTTTTCTGACCTCACTCTAGGTAGAAACGTTTCGACTGACTTACTTGGTCTTCCCATCAGGTCCTTTTAAATGGTTTATGTATTATTAAAAAGCACCATGGCTCATTAGCAACAAACAAAGACGATTGCTCAGGCTTGCTGGCACTTTGTAACGTCTCCAGGGTTTCCTGCTTCCACATCCTCAGCTGTTGAACAGGTCAGAATGATCGATTTTTTCTGTTCCCTTCACTAATAAGCTTTTGCTACCTTGGGTGCTCACTTCTTCACCTTTCATTCGCTTTCTTTGTGCTTCAAAGGGAGCAGGGGACTGAGGTTGTTTTTCTGCCACAATAAATGTGCCGCACCTTGGTTCCTAAATGCATTAAGCCACAGAACAAATTGCTTCTTTTGAACTGCTCCAGTGTAACAGTAAAACCAAAATGTCAGCTCATAAAGCATTTTTGAGCTGTTCATTGTAGCCTGGCACCTCTGGGAGGGCAGTTTTGTCTGGGCTAGTGAGTACTTAACATCCTCTCTGATGTTATAACTGCGAGGTAGGTTGTGGGATGAATTGTCTGGCTGAGGAAAGTTCTCAGTCTGTCTCAGTCTCATGGCTTAATTCTTAGGGGATGGGGGCTCATAACACTGCCAAAACTTCTAGGTCACCTCAGCATGAGGCTAGAGATGTAGATGTTCCTAGACTTGCCTTTTCTCCTTTGTGTGAAGTGAGCTTGGTTCATCCCAGCTGTGATGCTGGACTAACATGCCAAGCTCCTTGTTTGCAGGTTGGTGTATTCTTCACAAGTGATCCCCATCACAGATGGAATATCTAAGAGTATAATTCACTCCCATTAAAAATTAAATCCATTCAAAATTCAGTTCACATTAATTCTATGATACTGAACTGAATGACAAAATAATGCCAGATATTAGGAAAAAAATTAATATTCAAAAAATACCATTTCAAAAGTAATTTAGAAATCAGTGTATCGAAGAGCGGACACCCAGTGATGTCAGTGTAAGTGTCTGATGAGCAAAAGTGATTTCTCAGCGCTCTCTCTCTCTACCAGGAGCGAGTACTAATTCGTGGCAATGTAGCCAAGTTGTCTTTCGGGCTGTGAATGGACAGCAATGCTCTTGAGGCCATGTTCTTGCAGTCAGGATGGTCTAAGGACACAGACAAGATGATGTAGGTTGAAATAATATAGCTGGAAAATTAAATAAGCTTTCAGCTATAAGGACAAAAGCTTTTCTTTACTGCCCAGGGCTTACCTGTTTTTTCCAACAACAGCAGATGCTCTAATAAAAGATATTACTTCTACCTACAAACATCATCTTGCTTCTTCCAGTGTTATTTTGACTTTCTTCAGAGATGGCTGAAATAAAACAAAACATGTTTTCACATCATGGAAACACTAGGGAGTCTGTTTCGGCATGAAAAGCAGGCTGGGGGCCGGGGCTGTCTTCTCAGTACAAATCTGTAGCACTTCAAGGTTTGAATAATCCCTGGCAGCATTTTGAGTTCTTGACTTCTGAAATGCAGTTTAAAACTAAATTGTGGATTCTTGGTATGCTGGGTGAAGGGGTTTGTGTTGACTTGCTGAATGCATCAGAAATCCTTCCGTCAGCTCTGCCCCAGAACCGCGTTGTGAGCGATCTTCCACGTGCCAGCAAGAAAACAAGAACAGGGAATTTAGGAAGCCAGTTTTGTTTAGTAGTTTGCCACTTGTCCCTGCCCCAATATGCAGACAGTCAGGCCTTGATTCCCCAGAGGATCTTAGATTTTTGGTCTTTGCTTGCAGAACAAATATAGTGATGGGGGAAAGCAGGCAGAGCTTCAAGCTCCTGCATGAAAAGTTGTCTTGTTTCATTTACAGAAAAACATGTTCTGAGCCTGTTAGGTATGGCAAAATCTGACAAAACACCAGGGACTTTGCCATTCTGACACAGGCAAAATCTTGTTTCTCAAAGTTGAGCTTCCTTGGAAAGACTTTCTTGCTCTCTTGTTTTCTAAAGCATGGCTTTTTCTGAGAAGTAAACGAATCATGTTCTTAATGCACGGGAAGCAAATCAATCAAACCGATCCTGCCTCTTTTCATAATCGATATGTATGCGACGTGTGCCAGGGAAAAGCAGGTAGCTCTAACATAAATGCTGATGTGCAGAGGCTATCGGGCTTCTGCTGTGCTTGGTCCACAGAGGATGCGAATCTGTCACAGAGCCATTATTGACCTTTGGCTCAGCTCGAAACTGTTTGTCCTTTCAGTGCTGCAAATGCCTATTCAAACCGCAGGGTATCAGCGGTGGCGGGGCTGTCACACAGGTATTGTGTGACTATCTCTGAAGTGGATCTGCCAAGGTAGCATGTTTAATTTAAGCATCTCTGAGACGGTGAATTCTGCAGTCCTGGCAGATTTTGAAAGATGCAAACAGAGCAAGCTAATGAAATGCCTGATTCCTAACTACATAAACTACGACTTATAAATAATTCATGATTTCACCTTAGATTTCACCTTTGGCTTCACCTTAGACTACTTCACCTGTGACCTTGTGGTCAGATGAAGATGCTGCTGGTAAAAAGAAGCTATTTATTATACTGAATTACTGCAAGTGGCGACATTAACAAGTTTTAATACATTTAAGCTCCACTTTGGCCTTCCTTTGTTTACCAGCATCTTTGGTCTGTCTGTGTATTACACTGTTGATTCAAACCTCTCCTCTCCCTACCAGTGATGGTGTCTCTGCTGAAATGGAGTGGTATGTGTCATCTCCAATAACAATGTTGTTATGACAGTGATAACAATATTCTTCATGGTGGATGTTCCAGAGAAGGGATTCAGACCTGACAAACTGGACTCTCTCCAAACCACATGGACTCATGTTTCTGTGTTCAGGGCATTTCCAAAGAATGAGAAAACTGGTAAAGTGACAGACTGTTGAGAAGTGAGTGGTGGTGGTGGTGGACTCACTGCTTTTTAAGTGGCATCTGACATGACCTGGACTTGACTGTTTTCTCTCTGCAGTTTTCTTACGAGACA